AAGGCACCCCGGAAATAGCAGTTCACAAGAGAGTGACAAACATACAAAAGAAGTAGAGGAAAATGACGATAGAAAGGGTGAGGAAAGAAAAAGCAGCAATTCCCCCTATGTTGTTCCGGTACAGAATCAACATGACATTGATAAATCAGGCCATTTACAATTCTACTGTGCATAAGAACATATTGCTATCACACTTTGGGAATGGCCTAAAGACACTTCAGTTTGCAGCACCGACGGGGCTCAAAAACAAACGCTCATGCGTGTGCATGAATGCGTGTGTGTGTGTGTGTCTGTGTTTGTGTGTGTGTGTGTGTGTGTGTGTGTGTGTGTGTGTGTGTGTGTGTGTGTGAGTGTGAGTGTGCTGGCCAGTGCGTGTGTGAGTGTGCTGGCCAGTGCGCGTGTGAGTGCATACCTTTACCATGCCACAGCAAATTTCTCTCATCTCATCTCGCTTTATCTCGCCGTATCTTATCTTATCTCATCTGATCTCATTTCATATCATCTTATCTAATCTCATCTTAATCATCTCATCTCACCTCACTTTATCTTGCCGTATCTTATCTTATCTCGTTATCTTATCTTATCTCATCTCACCACGTCATATCTCACCTCATCCCATCTCATCCCATCTCATCTCACCTCATCTCATCTCATCTCATCCCAACTCATCTCACCTCACCTCATCCCATCTCACCTCACCTCACCTCATCCCATTTCATCTCACCTCATCTCATCTCATCTCATCCCATCTCATCTCACCTCACCTCATCCCATCTCATCTCACCCCACCTCATCCCATCTCACCTCATCTCATCTCACCTCACCTCACCTCATCCCATCTCATCCCATCTCATCTCACCTCACCTCATCCCACCTCACCTCATGCCATCTCATCTCACCTCATCTCATCCCATCTCATCTCACCTCACCTCATCCCATCTCATCCCATCTCATCTCACCTCATCCCATCTCATCTCATCTCATCTCATCCCATCTCATCTCACCTCACCTCATCCCATCTCATCTCACCTCACCTCATCCCATCTCATCCCATCTCATCTCATCTCACCTCACCTCATCTCACCTCACCTCACCTGTGCAGTCGATGACGAAGACCCAGGTGGAGGAGCCGGGCGCCATGGTGGCCTTGGCGTTCTCGATCAGGTACGTCACGTGACCGATGACGTCATCCACGGAGTTCTTGTGAGTGGAGGCCTGGGCGAAGTTGGCGTAGACCACGGGCCTGCCTGACTCGTCGTGCCCCACCTGGCGCTGGGGACAGGAGAACCAGATCGTTACAGTCTAATAATAGACCTGCTGGGGCCTCCTTTCGGTGAAAGGAATGATCGGTGCATTAACATCAACTGAAAGTCATTGGCCTACTATATTAATTTACACTCTACTGGAATGGAGCAATAAATCTTGAGAGAAAAGTGACACATGTGTTTCCAAGTTGCCAAATATATCATAGATGTATAGATTGATTCCTTATTTCGCTTTCGTGGTTGTACATTCTATAATTTTAAAGGTGTGGATACAGTGCGCACGGCTAGTGAACGGAAACCTCACTTGTTACAATGGCGTCTTAGAAGATGGACATTCCCCCAAGATTAGATCAAAATGAAACTAATGAAAAACTGAAAATTAAACTACAGTGACCTCAGGCTCCTCAATGAAACTGTGCACAATTTAAATGATTCTGAACCATCATTAATTTTGTCAAATTCAAAAGTTAAGTGGTTCGGAAGTTTTAGGCGGCCAAAGCGACGGACTTTCACAAATATCATATGTAGAGATGTCAACAGAGAAGCCCAAATGGGAATCAGACTTAGACTGCTCACCTCTCTAGCCTCG